CATTCAGGCAAAATGAAGTTCCCAACTCATGGCTGTGAGAAGGCATCTAGCTCTGGTAGAGACACAGCACATCACCCCCCCTCTAAATTTCACATTCCTACCGGCTAGTAATGGCAATCCCCGGCTTGGCTGCCTGCCTACTGTGAAATCTGTTTCCAGATGCCACGTGCTTCCCACACATTGCAGTGGAAACCTATTAAATAAGGGAATTTCACCCATGGGGATCCTTAGCATCAAAGATCATTATGCTGATTGTCAACATGCTTCAGCTCCTCTTTGTATCTTGCTTCCATTTTTAAAAGTCCCTGTAATTTTGAAATTGACTCAAAAGTCTTACTACAGACTCCATATAGGGGATATAACAAGAAATGATTTTACAAGAAAATCGTAAGATTAAATTGAATAATTACAGAATTTAAGTGCAGGAGGGAGAAACCAAATCCCTAGAAAAGTCTCCTGGCCTCCCCTGAGCAGATGCAGATCTGCATTCAAATTTGGTAGCCTGGCTCACTTCTTTACTGACCTCCCATTTCAGTTTTCCTGTTTAAGTTAATTTTGGAAGAAAGGATTTTCCAAGGCAGTTATCAGTGTAGATTCACCACCAATGCAACACATTTTCCCCAAAGAGGTTTCTAAATCAATTTTCACTTCAGTAGGCTCAAGTAAATGTTTTCAATTTGATTCAATAATCCATACACACTTACAAAATGGCTTTTCCCCCATGTACTACAAGACAAACATAGTTTATGTTTCTAACAACTTGGGCTAATAAAAAACTCTAATTTCCTATCCTGGACGGTAAAACCACATAATGTTTATTCACCTCTCAATGAATCAGATGACGTAAACATTAAAAAAAAAAAAAAACAACTATACCCAGACCCAGCCTCCAAGTGCATTATTTGAATCATGAATTCTCTGAATGCTTCTTAAAGAACGCATGATTTCTGACAAAGCCACACACACAAATATATCACCAAAAAAGTCCTAGAACAGAAATTTTTAAGTCTCCTGAGAATTTGGCATTATTTCCTTTTAGAGAGCAACATGAAACCTCTTCAGGATGTCTCTTAAAATTTGAGCAAATTCTCAGGAAAGGTAATTACAACACAGTTACTAGTAGGTATCAGCCAAGAGTGGCATGAAGATTAGGGCTGGAGGTATGGGATGGCAGAAATCTAATCTCCTCTAATAGCATCTAGTGCGCTGTAAGCTCATAAAATGGAGTAAGGTGTAAAAAGGAGGGCTGTGGAGGTCAGGGTGAAACACAGGTCCTCAACTGCTAAGTACCTTCACAGTACATGGAGCAAAAAGTGACAGTCTGGAGAGGAAGGGAGAGGTGCTTGGCTCACTGCCATTTCCATAACTACATCTTCAAGACAGTTAAAACGCCTACCCTGTGCTGGGAAGTATGACCAGGTAGCATTTCTAGAGCCCATCGAATTCTAGATGCATCAGATCAATATTGACTGAAAGGCAAAATTAGTACTTGATTTTTAATAGCCCATTTTTAAGATTATCCAGGGTGGTAAAGTTAACATAGATAATTATAATTTGATATTATCATGTTAATATTGAACTTACCTACCATACATTAGAGGCTCGCAGCTACAATTCTACTTAAATACCAGCTGCTGAGAGGATTTTGTATGTTAAGTTCTTGTCCTAACTGTAGTAATAATCCTTCAGTGTTGGAACAGAATACTGTCTTACAAATCAGCACTGATAATAATGGAGGGAAACCGAAGAGTTGACTATGACTAGAAAGCTTATGGCTGTAAAAACACTGTGCCTAATGAGAAATGTTTTAATAATCTCTTGTAAGAGAATTGCTTTGCATATGAATACAAAAAGAGATGAGTGTTCCCAACACATAAAAGAAATATTTGGTAAAATCTGTAACTTTGCAGAAGCATACACGCCATGCGCCCCATCTGCAGCAGAAGTCAAACTATTTGCTTATCACCAAAAAAATGGCTACTCTATGCAACAGAGCCTAAAAGCAATCATAAGAAACCATAAACACTTCACACATCCCGCCCTGCTGCAGGGAGTTAGTCCACCCCTGTACCAGGACTTCGCATTCACCCTCACTTATTATCATAAGACTCCTCCTGGACCTTTCCTCTAACGCATCCAGGTTATTAAAATGTTTGCTTAACTAATGATGTTACAGTGCCTTTAACTCAAGATAGGCACTATGCCACAAATGTACAAGTCACATCTGAACAACCACCACTTTCATTTCAGCCACTGTATTTCAATAAGAATAGCAGTTTGTGTTTACCTAACATTTGATTATGTTTTATATTCATATACCTTACAAACCTTAGGAATTAAGCTTTGTATCATTTGAACACTTCAAGTAAGAAACACTACCTTCTATATCCTTATACAGATACAGAGAGGTCTAAAGATTTAGCCGACTCTAAGATGGAAGACTTATGCTGAGATCAGGAAAGAACCCTGTCCCATGCTTTACCTCCACACTAATCCTTACCCCCTTTTTGTCACCCCAGATCTTCAGCGTGGGATACACTTTTGGGACAGTCACTCTGTTAAGAAGTTATTATCAAACTTACTGTTCTTTCTCAGCACAGTGCTGTGAACTGCAGCTGGTAGGAGAACTACCAGAACAGCAGGTAACACAGCAAGAGAGGCCCCTCCCTGCTCTGGATGGAAACAGATTGCATGGCTCTTGCAGAAGTACAACAAAACCTGATTCACTGGAAATACACAAGAGCTGAAATTTCTGTTTATAAAGCAAATTTCTTGGGAATACTCAGTTCCTTTGCATAATCAAACTCATTGATTAGTAACATTAGAAACTTCATGTTAGTCCTTGCTACCTGTCACTGCTTGAAGTTAATGAACTTCTGAAAAAAAGAAGAAAAAAAATTTCCCTGTTTTTCACATGTCCATCATTCACAGTATACAGGGGAGGGCTCATTTGTTGAAATACACACAAATACATACAATTCAATGACAAGAAAATGAGCACACCAAGTTTCTTTTGACTTTCATTACGTGGGGTTTGAATAGTAAACGCTATCTGAGTCGTATACCTTGTCTGTATAAAGCATTCACTGTACCACAAGGCCTTCGGATGGCTGGACGTGATTGGATGCACTCAGACTTGCACATACAATACAGAACAAGATTAATTCTGGAGATAAGCTACTGCTGTACACTGTCCCCTCCAGTTCTTCAGATAGTTGTACATGCTGCAGGGAGCTCTGATAGCTGCCACAGAACATATTTTATACTTCTCAGCGGTAAAGGTAGTTCTCAGAATTTCCATTTAGGGGATAGAATCAGATTTTGTGCAGATAAGCATTCCGTTATTATGACTTATGAAAATGTTTTTAGAAGTTGGATGCTGAATATTTTATTAACATAAAACATCAAGTTCCTAAAACAGTTGTTTGCCGTTTTCAAAAGTTTCACCCTCCAGCAGAAGAAATAACATAGGAGACACACATCAAAAAGATGTTATCTATATTGCAAAGAACTAACATTTTTTTAATTTCCTGCCTGCCCCAAAATACTGAATGATCATACAACCAAACCACCCTTACTTTCTTTACTTCCCTTGATGAACATCTCTCTCAGAGCACATTCTCATTTACATCAAAGTTCCCCTATTTATGCCTTTCCAAACTACAGCTTTATCTTAAATTATTTTTTTTCCTTGTGAGCTTAGGCCTAGAGTAGTCATAAGGATTCTGAACCATCTTCCCAAACAAATGCTTAAATTTTTCTTAATTGCCATGTCTCTTTTTAAAAAAGCTAATACAAAGATTTCTGATACAAAAGCTATAGCAAACACAAGGCCTTAATTACCGGTTTGGTGGAATCATGGCATTAAAGGTATAGCTGCCCAGAAGTTGAACAAGTTATTTATCAGATATTTAAGATGAGTAAAATTTGAAAAGCACACATATATGAGCAAAGAGAAGAATATTTTTTTGTCTTAAAAAAATGTAAAAAAAAAAAAATCCTCAGAAGTAAATGGCTACATTATATACCCACAAAAAAAACTCCAGAATGACAAACTGAAAAGCTCACATGGAAGTTCAAATCTTACTGCCTCAAGTATTAAGTATGATTTTTTTCTTTTTCTTTAACTTTATTTGAGCAATACATATTAAATTTATTTTCAGTCTCTCATTATCTGTATAAGTTTAAAAAAAAAAAAAAAATCAAAGACAGCTACACAGAACAACATGAATTACCACTAGAATCCACGGTTTTGGCCTCCAAGTTCATCAGTACTTGAAAACATAAGCAATAAAAATACTAATAAAAATGTAAGCATAAGAATCCCTACTAAAAATCTTTCAGTACTCCTTTAATAAACACCAATTCATATAGTCCCCTTTCTCATGCTTGTCAGTCCAAAGAACTGCCCTACAATCTGATGCAAAACTGTAAATACAAATATGAACTTACCCACCCATGCATTTATTCAGAGCTTCTCCTTACTTTTGAGTTTTCCTTCTCGTTTATATTTCCTTTATTAAATTACAATTAATCTCTCTATAGATCGCAACCAAGTTCTCTATAACTTCACAAAGTGTCAGTAAGATTCAACCTCCAGTAACAGAAAGTACATTAAAGGTCTGGTTAGTTCAAAACAAAGTAGAAAAAAGCCTTTAGAAGAAAATTTATTATCAACAGAGAAAAAAAGTTACCTTTTGCTAAGAGTAATTTTTATAATTGCATTTCCATTTGTGAAACAATCACAATATACATACAGAGTAAAAATTCATGAACTGTGATACGTAAGTTCTTTCTTACATTTTAAATGTGTATTGATAGATTTTTAGTAACAAGAGAACCAAATCCTGTGTTGCCATACCAGACTTCCACTGGGCTTAACAAATTTTACTTTCACTGAGTGCACAGATAACAGAAGAATCACAGATGCATAAAAGGTGGTTGATGTAGGAGCTGATTAAAGTACAAAATACATACAAATAAAGAAAATGAGTCATTACCTTTCTTTTTGGAGTCTTTCTTTGTGCTGGTTTTAACAGCCACTTGAAGTTCTGTCTCAGTTGACATCCTATATCCTTAGTCCTCTTCACACAGATCCAGGATCTCAGTAAGGCTCATTTAGAATGTCTCTTCAAGAGAATAATTCAGCCTTTCAGATACTATAACCCAAACAGTTCATCTCATTGACTCCTTTTGAGTGCTGTTAAACAAGGAAACAAAAACAATGGTAATTTTCTGAGTTTAAAACATTAAAAAAAGAAAAGCCACTGTAACCTTACTGAGGAAGAAACCTGTGAAGCTCTCCGTCTACAGAGTCAATTGCCCACAGTGTTAGACGCTTAAATATGATCATCTAGTCCTGTTTGAGATGTTTTGGCATATCTGAGCTGTCTTCACACGCTAGAGACACCACACAAGGTGTACAGAACACCTGTACTTCTGGACCAGCAGCTGGAGGACAAAGACCGTGATCTGGGAAGTAGCTAGAAATGTCACCAAAAGCAAAAAAATCTGCAACGACGCAATTCTTAAAGGCAACAATTCCAAGGTAAAAACATATCGCCAGATAGGAAGTTCAGATTTGTACTCCTCAAATGCTCTTTCAGTGCTTTCATTCTCCTATTTGAACAAAGACAAATGAAAGATGCATTCATTACTCATACTGAGATCATACTTTGCCACTCCTCTTGCTTATGATAATGTTTGCAGCATGAAAGAATCTGCCTCCATGTAAACAAAGCTGTAATTATTAACACCCATCTAGTAATTTTTCTTGCAAAGAACTCTGAAAATACAGTTAATTAAACCTACAAAATTAAAAGGGGATAGGAGGCAAAAAGATAACATTAAGGGACCAAGCTACATCTTTACATAACGTGTATTTGTTGGGGTGATAAACAAATGCACCGGCTGTGAACCCCTGGCGGTAACTGCAGAAATGTGCTGGAGCAGTATGAGGGAGGCAGGCTGTGAGGCTGCAAGTAGGACGGGGGACGTATGGGCTGTGGGGGCAAAGAATACACAAAGAATAAATAACCAAGCAAAGAATAAACCATTACTCCAATTCTTACTGCTGGTCCTTCTTGCTTTGAAGGATGAGCTGCCTACTTCAGCCAGTCTGTCAAGGGCAGAGGACCATACTGTCCCGAAGCCATTTGTCATGATGTTCCCTCACTAAATGCATCTTCTTATTGCCTTTTCTTTTTGTGAAAAAGTTCTCATTATTAGCACAATTACAGTGAAGTCCATCTGGCCTGCTTGAACAGCTGCCCAGTTATTAAATAAGCATTTAATAAAGAAATTAACCCAGCATATCAGCTGGTTAGCTGGCCAGAGAAACTACAGTCATAGTTATTTACTGATGTCCCTTCTCTGTCATTTAAGAAAGTAATACACTGCAAACATTGAAATAATTTTGACAGTTTAAATCACTTTTCACAGTAAGGGCTGTGAAGCCACTCATACTTTCAAATCCAGGCTCTTTCAACATTTTAAAATGCTTCAGTAACATTACACTGCCATGCACTGTCTGAAGTGATTTAATATTCCTGAAGTGTGTCAGGGGCTTTCTTTAATAAGCTCTTCAAATCTGTATGTGTATTATAGAATATTCAAAGATAGCTTTTCAAAATCTGCTGAACTGATTTTGAAATACAAAATTCCCTGTTCCTTCTCTATGGAGTCTGAATAAGTGCCACATAGCAGAAAGAAGGAAAATAAAGCAACTTACAAATGAAAGTTGCAGTGCTTGCTAAATACACCTCCTTGGAACACCTGAATAAACTAAAAGCATTTTGATTAGCATTCTTAGTTAAGAAAACAGTAGAAAAAGACAAAGCAAATGAAGGGTTGATCGCAGACAGAAAAGGAGTAAGAGAACAGCCCCCAAACTGACAATCTTCCAGGACCTGAAGTGCTCTTCAGACAGGTCCATGGACAGGGAGACGTCTCTCCCCCAAACACGGTCGTGGTGGGACACCATGTGCAGGGACCACTGGGCCCCGGCACAGATCAGTGCTGCGAGGGAATCACCTCACCCTGCCATCGATGGAGCCGCTCTTAACTTACGCTTGAAATCCCCCCAGCAAACAGGGAGAAAAGCGCTGCAGAGAACAGATGTCCCTCGCAACCCCCATCTCCTTCCCTTCCCCTGCACACAACCCAATTTAATAATACTTAGTTTTACAGCACAGTAGGGATGCATCAGTCTTTACAGCTCAGTGGCACTTACTTAAAGCATCTCTCAAGTCACAGCTGGATTGACAGTTTATTTTTCTAGAATTTGGATTTATATTTACCTAAAGGTTAACTGTGTAACTTAACAAGAAGCACTAACATGAACCACTTAAGAAAAAATACTTATAATAGGTCTATTATTAAAAAAAATAAAAAATATAAAAAATTTAAAAGACATACAAAATACCCCCAGGGCCAAGAGTTAAGCAAGTTGTAATGTCTTAGAAGACTGGTATGGGTACCAAGGCATCATGAACATCATCTCCTGTTGTCAGCTACTTTCAACAGAATAGCTGAAAAAGTAGCATCTGAATGGCACTGAATATTTTAAAATAACAACATATGACTGCTATCTCATTTCAAACTCTCCAGAAAAGCTATATCCCCTCGAGGCTATCCCACCGAGTAATATTTTTTAAAATAAATGCATGTCTATTTTTTGGACAGGTTCACATATTGATTTACTTTAAAACCTAATCAGGTCATACTCTCGCAGGCTCATAGATCCTTGAATAAAGTAATATGTATCTTTGTAAAGGAACACATAAACATCTGTCAGATGCAAGCGATAGTTCAAACTGAATTTGCTACAGAGACAATTCCTCCAAAAGTATAGGTCTTTATGTAAGCTATATTAGTAAACTTTCATATACTGTCCATATTTTAGCCGGTTATTACCCAGATGAGAATGGCAGTCAATCTGCTCTTCACCGCAACAGCTTTTATTGTCTCCTCCAATCTAGGTCACCGTTGTTAAATACTACAGTCTTCCAACTGTGGGAAGTGCTGCAGCATGTGTTTTATCAATGAGATGCTCTTTTCTTTGATCGGTTCTGCCACATTTCTCTCCCTGCTCTAAAGACAAAATTTTGTTAGCTGCATTTAAACAACAAAAAAATATTCCACCATCTTACACGTATCCACTCTAACGATCTTCTTGTGTGCCTTGTTACTGTTCCACCTCTTACAGTGTTATGTGCATGCCTCAGCTTTTCCTAAAGAGGATTCAGAGCTCTTAGTTTTAACAAAATACTGACATTTTATGTTCCCTTATTAAGTGGCTACAGCAGGAACACAATCGGCGCATTCGGGAGTTAACTGGCTTTTAATTCCAAGAGAAGCCTTAAGCCCGCATTCTGTATTACTCCTACAGCAGCATAAAACCTAAAGCCGCAGTGAAGAAATGTTTTTGTAAATTCACTTTGCAGTTGGGATTAACACAGGTTGGACCTTTTATGTGCAGGGAAATCAGTCACAGGCTCCATCCGCCTCCCCCACACATTTGTAAAACAACAATTTCTGTCAAATCATTTGTCTTTTCAACCATGCTTGAGTGAGCTCATGAAGGGGTTATTAGGCGACTTCCCCTGGCCCAAGTTATGAGGGAGGTCAGACAAGACTATCATAATACTTCCCCCCTCTGGCTTTAAAATACATGAATTTATTAATTATCTTCACAGCTTCAAAACTTAAGAGGTTCCCTCCCCTGAAACCAGTTTCCATCTGCTTATGTAAAGGAAAAGCAGTCTTAGGAAGGATTTGTAACTAAGCCCTGGCATTCCCTAGGTATTTATGTTCTCCACAGCCCCAAAGTGGGATATTAAAAGAGGATGGTACCTCCCAAACCCTGGTTTGACAAAACAAAAGCCATGCTACAATCCTTAGCTCTTGTTTTTCTACCTCTGAAAGCTTGCAATTCATTTCCTTTCCTCCAAAGCACCCAATATCTGTAATAATCTAATATCCATAAGGGAACACCGATGCCTGTGATTTTGCTAGTGTTAAACAAAGTCCAAACGTATTAAAAGGGCAAAATATTAAATGACAAAATTATTTTAAAAGTGCTGTGAACCTGGAAAACTGAAAACAGTTCGAGCACTTAGGACTGCTATCCAGGGAGAAAAATATTACTCATCAATTTCTCATCTGACCACAAAGCCCAACACAGAGAGCTTCAGTGGGACCGCACATGAACAAATGGTGGAAAAACCCTTCTTTGCCACCAGTGACCTCCAGAGAGAGAGGAGGCCATGAAATCCTTTGGAGCTGCTCACACTATTTTGTACTTATCAGCTCATTTCCCTAATTGTCAGGTCTTGTGAACATCCTGCGGGAAGCTACTTGGTATCACAGTATTAATCTTTTACAGAAGGCACTACACTAATTCCAAACTGAAACCCAGGGGACTGGTCTAAAACCTACTGATACATTTCAGTTAATAAGGCCTGTAAGTAAAAACCAGAAAGTGAGGAAGACGAGGCAGAAGAGGGAGCTTAAGATACTGACCCAGAGGAGAAAATTAGGAGGAAAAGAGAAGCAAACAGGAGATGTCTGCGTAGATACTTCATTAAAGCAAATTCTATAACAACGCATTTAGGAGCAAAACCTAAGACAGCTCATGCATTAAAATTCTGGCTTAGCCTGCAAAAGAAAACAATCACTGTTGGATTGCTGCATGTGCCCAGTCCCTCTTCTCTAGTTTTGTCATCTGCCCGCAGAACAGCGTAATAAACTGTTTCTAGTGACAGAATCAAATGACTCTCTCTCATGGCAGGGCATGCCAATCACTGCTTTCTCCTGCAATTTCTTTACTGGTATTTCTGCAGCATGTAAAGGTAAAGGGAAGCTTACTGTTCACACGCACAAACTGACCTACAAACACCTACACAAAAATTCATTCCCTCAGCAGACATGCGGAAAGCCAAGTGCCTGGTTTAGCTCCTCAATTCTCCCATTGCAAGCTGCAAATGCTCCTCTGAAACCCAGCACCCTACTGCTTCCTCCTCCTACCTCCCTAAGTTACACGGCTTGCAAAGACTCACAGCTGCCTC